ACTTGGGGATTTTCCAGGGATCTTTCTGTCACTGATTCCTAACTTAATTCCACTGTGGTCAGAGAATATAATCTGTACAACTTGAATCCTTTTAAATTTGCCTATTTTATGGCCCAGAATATTGTCTCTCTTGGTAAATGTTTTCTGTGCCCTTGAGAACAATGTGTCTTCTGCTGTGGTTGGGTGAATGGTTCTGTAAAAGGCAGTGAGTTTGGCAGTGTTGTTCAAGTTTACTATCTCTACTAGGGTTAAACTGTGTGCCTCCTGCACACCACTCTCCCGAAAGATGTTGAGATCCTAACTGCCAGTACCTGTGAATGTGACTTTATTTGGAAATAGGGTCTTTGCAGATGATCAATTGAAGATGAGGTCATTAGGATGGGCCCTAATTCAAAACGACTGTGTTCTTGTAAGAAAGGGAAATTTGCACAGAGAGGCAGACATACGGAGAGAAGAGGACGTGGAGACACAGGGAGGATACCAGCTACAAGTCAAGCATGCCCAAGGCTACCAGAAGCTAGGAGAGAGCACGGAACATATTCTCCCTCACAGCCTCAGAAGGAACTAACCCTGCCAACACTTTGAGTTCAGACTTCTAGCTTCCCGAACTGTGAGACAATAAATTTCTGTTGTTTAAATCACCCAGTTTGTGGTACTTCGTTATGGCAGCTCCAGGAAATGAATACGACATCCTTGCTGATTTTCTGCCCACTTCTGTCGATTACTAAGAGGGTTATTGAAGTGAACAACTGTGATCGTGGATTTGCCCGTTTCTCCTTGCAGTTGTCGCAGGTGTTGCTTCATTTTGAAGCTCTGTCATTAGGTGCGTAAACATTCAGGATTGTTATGTCCTCTTGATGAACTGACTTCTTTATATTAAGAAATGACCTTTTTATCCCTAGTAATTTTCTTAGTTGTGAAATCTACTTTGATATTAATATAGCAGTTTCAGCTTTTTTTTCTTTTATGAGTGTGAGCATGGTATATCTTTGTCCATTCTTTTTAGTTTTAACCTATTTGTGTCTCTCTATATAAAGTTTGTTGTAAGCAGCATATAGTTGGGTCTTGCCTTTTTAACCAATCTAACAATCTCTGTCTTTTAATCAGCATGTTTAGATCATTTACATTTAATGTGATTATTGATATAGTTAGGGTTGAGACTATCACCTTGCTATTAGTGTTCTATTTGTCCCATCTGTTCTTTGTTCCCTCTTTTTCTGCCTGTTTTGTATTATTTGCGTGATTTTTTTTTTACCTCCTTTGTTGGCTTATTAGCTATAACTCTTTGTTATTTTAGTAGTTGTTTTAGGGTTTATAGGTTTACACCTCTTTAGCTTATCACAGTCTGCCTTTAAGTGATATTACACCACTTCACAAATAGTATAACAACTTTACAATAGTATATTTCCAGGGACCTTTATTCTGTGGTCAAACAAACTTTTTCTGAAGGAGCCAGTAAATATTTTGGGTTTTGTGGGTCATATAGTCTTTGTCACAATTACTCAACTCTGCTATTATCGTGTGAAAGCAACCATAAACAATTCATGTATGAATGGGTGTGCCTGTGTTCCAGTAAAATTTCATTTACAGAAACAGATGGTGGGCTGAATTTGGCGCACGGGCCATCGTTTGCCAACTCCTGCTTTACGCTATTGTTGTCATGCATTTTACTTTTTTCATATTTGTTGTAAACCCTACAATACATTGTTCTTACTTTTGTTTGGTCAATTATCTTTTAAAGAAATTTGGACAATGAGAAAAACATCTTATATATTCATCCATATAGTTACAATTTATTCCTTTGTGTAGATCCAGGTTTCCATCGGGTGTCGTTTTCTCCCTGCCTGAAGGATTTCATTTGACATTTCTCGTAGTGTGAGTCTGCTGTGGATGAATTATCTCAGCTTTTGTAAGTTTGAAAACATCTTTGCTTTTCCTCTGTTTTTGTTTGCTTTCTAAATACCTATGGTCTGTTGTAGAAAGTGTCCCGTGTGCACATGAGAAGAATGCGTGCTGTGCCATTGTTGGGTGGAGTAGCCTATAGATGTCTGCTGGTCTGGGTGGCTTATAATGTTGCTCAAACCTTCTATTTTCTGTTGACCTTCTGCCTCTTTGTTCTATTCCTTATCGAAGACAGGGTATTGAAGTCTGCAGCTATTACCGTTGAATTGTCTATTTCTCCCTTTAGTTCTGTAAGGTTTTCTTCATGTATGTTAGGCTCTGTTGCTAGGTTCATATACATTTTTAAAATTATGTCTTCCTGATGAATTTACTCTTTTATCCGTATAAAACGTCCTTGCTCCTAGTAACGGTTTTGTCTTAAAGTCCATTTTGTCTGGTATTAGTATGGGCGCTCCAGCTCTCCTTTGGTTACTGTTTGCATGCTATAATTTTTCTATCCTTTTACTTTCTAGCTATTTGTTTCTTGACTCTAACATGTGTCTCTTGTAGGCAGCATAAAGTTGGATCATGTGTGAGCTGGTTGGGTGTTTTTTAGGTTTTCATTTAATATTTATTATCAGTGCTTTAATATAGAATATTTTGCAGTGATTAATGACATGTGGATGCCATCAGTTTTTCAAATACCAAGTGCCAATATTTTCTGATAAACATTGATTTTCGCAAAATGAAATAACCACACATAACACAATTTCAGGAGATGGTTATACCATCGGCGTTATTCACCCAGATGACGAAAGGGCAATACTTAAAATCATGCACATCATTTCCCCATTTCATAAAACTTCTTTTTAAACGTCTACAAACTTTGCCAGCATGGAAATATTCTTCAAAAACTTTGTGATAACATAAACTAAAAAATTTACTTTGGAGAAGTAGGAAGCTGTTTTTCAAATTTTGGCTTCAGATTTTTTTTTAATTGGTTAAAAAATATGGTGAGAAGTGTATTGAGAGAGGTGGAGAAAAAGAAGCTTCCAGTTGATGGAGTCAATGTGTCTGAAAATACTTCAGGAAAATAAAGGGAAAACTTCAAGAGCTGGAATGTATTATAAAAGTCTTTCAGCAGGATGAACAGATGAGAAGTTCTTGCATCAATTGCACCCACAGGAGATAGGTCGTCTTGAAGAATGCTTGTTTATAGAATCTTCTGTAAGACAGAGTTGGCTATCTCCAATGATTCATCTTTTACAAAAACAGTATCATAAGAGCCCATATACTTTTCTAAAAACTCATCCAGTCTATCATTTAGATATCCAGTTTCCAGAATGCGTTCAACATTTGCTACTCCATCTGCCATTCTTAAGTCTTGGGAGTTTCCCAGCAGAATTTTGTTGTTCTTGTCTTTTAGTTGATTGAAGTGGTAAGCAATATCCAGAGATGTAGGGCCTGGATACAGGCACCTCGATGATTTGGTCTTCTCCCGTCTTCCATTTCAAGGTGAATATGTACTGGGCCAGTACCATCTCTGCCACCAGGATACACACTGGGGCTGGCTAGTGCGCCCTCCTTGCCCATGGCCACCCAGTCCACGGCCAGGGCCAGGGCCAGGGCCAGGGCGACTGGGGCCTCCTGGATCGTGTTTTTAAATCCCTCCTGCCAATCTTTGTCTTCTGACTGAAGTGTTTAATTATTGATAAAGTAGGGTTTACATCTTCCATTTTGCTATTTATTCTCTATACGTCTTAAGTCTTTTCTCTTCCATTCCCCTATTGTCGTCTCTTGTGTTAAATTAATATATTCTAGGGTGCCATTTTAATTTCTTTTTTGTTTCTTCTACTGTATTTTTTTTTTTTTTTTGAGCTGTTTTCTCAGTGGGACCATAGCAGTGTTCAGTGTAGGGCTGATCATTCTCCACTTCTGAGGCAACACCTTTCTGAGTACTCCGCCCGCTTAATTATGAGATTTCTTTTCCAAACTGGCTGGTAGAAACAGGCACTGTTCCCAGCTCCGTGAGAGTCTGGGCACTATTCCCTCCAGCTTTGCAGATGGTTCTTCTCCCAGCCTTGCGTGGTTTCCTCACATGTGTGCGCTGATCATTTCTGTGCTGACTGCCCGAGGGGGCCCCTCTCAGATCCGTTGAGTCATCTCTGTGCGCATCTCCTTTCTTTCTGGTAGTCTGTCCTGTGAGCTCTTCTTGCCTCGGTAGCCCTGAATGCTCAGCTCTGTCTCCTCAACTCAGGGAGTCTGCTGGGCCCACTTCAGGCCCGCTCCCCGCCCTGCAGCCTGGAGCCTGTATCGAGGGGTAAGCTGAGGCGCTCACATAGTTTGCCTCCCCATTTTTCAAGGGTTGCTAGCCTTCATTAGCTGATATCCAGTGTCTAGAAACCACTGTTTCATAGTTATTGTTGCTTTTGGATTCTGGTTTCTGGTTGTTACACACAGGAGGGTAAATCCAGGCCCTGTTACTCCATTTGGGCTGGAAATGGAAGTAGTCATCATTCTTTTTTTAAAAGATTCTTAATATTCTACAGACTGGGTGTGCCATAAATATGAGTCCTCTATTGATAATCTAGTTTATAAACAATGCCACAGACTCTGTCTTTGTACATATACCTTGGCTTCCTGTTGTGAGAGTCCATAGAGAAAATTCCTATCTATGGAATTTCTGGGTCCAGGGTTTCTGCATTTCCATTTTAAATGTGTGGTTTACTTGCCCTGCAGTGTACACTTTTATCATCAGCAATGGGCCAATGATGGGGCAGACTTTAGATTTTAAACCTATTAAATACCCGTGTCCTTTGTAGACTCAGTGAGAAGTGGAGTGCGTCACTTGTATTTTGCAGTTTTCCCCGTCTTTTATGAGGGAAATTACATATTGTGGTGTCATTTGAAAACGTGCAGATTCTCAAAAATATAGAGACCTCTCCTTCAAGAATGTCAAAGTCTGTCTTGGGCCCAACTTAGTTTTGGGTCCTAGAAGTTATCTTTCTCCAAGAGCCCTAAATAATCCTAGTCAGATGTCCGAGATTTCCTGCCCTCCGAGTCTTATAGTGAGTATTTTTTACTTATTGTTGCTGATTTCTTTCTTCCTCTTCAACCAGGGCTCAGACTCAACAATAGGACTTCCCAAGCGCAAAGGGCAGGCTTCCTTAACATCGAGCGACGCGACTTCAACCGGAGGCTCCACCAAGCATTCAACCGCTGACCAGCCTCTGGAATCTGCTAGTGGTTTTGGCCCAAGTCAGCCTTTATCGGCAACCAGTGGCACAACATACCCCTCTGAAGGGATGAGTAGCAGAGAACGAAGCAGACGTCCCTCTCCTGCTGTGTTTCCTGGTGGAGAACAGCACCCAAGGGCCCGTGATGAAGCTGGCCTGGCAAAACCCTATCACCCCGCTGTGTCTCAGTTCAGAGTAGAGTCAGATCGTCGCAGGGCTAGAGAGCAGCACAGCTTGGCACATCCAAGAAGAGATGAACGAGATGCACACCCTGCCCCATTTCAACAGGACTTACCCCCAGCTACCTCTGCCAGAGACTGGCATCCTCAGGTGTACCCAGATCAGCATGGGGGAGTGTACATTAGCCAGGGTCAAATCTATCCAAGGCTAGATCAGCATGACTTAGGACCATTAGAAACACCAGACATGAATCAGCTTGCATTGCTACATCCTAGCACTTATCATCCACATGGCATAGTACCCCACAGCACGGGTCAGCTTGGTGTGATGCCACCAATGGTACCTGGCAGAGACCAGCAAAGATTGGAACTACCCAGGACAGATCAGCCTAGTATGGTTCCACTTAGCACATATCAGCATGGTATGATACTTCCTGGCACAGACCAACGTGGTGTAGAACAGCCTGGCATGGATGAGAATGTAATGGGACCACTTGGCATGGATCAGCATGGATTGGTACCTCTTGGAATGGATCAGCATGGATCTGTAATATTTAGCATGGATCAGCAAGGATTGGGACTGCCTAGCATGGATCAACATGGATTGGTTCCACCTCTTAGAGATGAGCGTGGTTTGGTATCACCTGGTTTGATGCAAGTTGCTGCAGATCAGCAAGCTTTTGTACATCCAAGTTTGGAAACGTCTGGCTTCATACAACCTGGAGCAAGTCAGCCTGCTTTGGTCCAGGCTGGAGCAGGTCAGCCTGGTGTAGTCCAGCCTGGCGCAGGTCAGCCTGCTTTGGTCCAGCCTGGCGTAGGTCAGCCAGGTATGGTCCAGCCTGGAGCAGGTCAGCCTGGTGTGGTCCAGCCTGGTGTAGGTCAGCCAGGTATGGTCCAGCCTGGAGCAGGTCAGCCTGGTGTGGTCCAGCCTGGCGCAGGTCAGCCTGGTGTGGTCCAGCCTGGCGCAGGTCAGCCTGGTGTGGTCCAGCCTGGAGCAGGTCGGCATGCTGTGGTCCAGCCTGGCATAGGTCAGCCTGGTATGGTCCAGCCTGGAGCAGGTCAGCCTGGTGTGGTCCAGCCCGGCGCAGGTCAGCCTGGTGTGGTCCAGCCTGGAGCAGGTCGGCATGCTGTGGTCCAGCCTGGCATAGGTCAGCCTGGTATGGTCCAGCCTGGAGCAGGTCAGCCTGGTGTGGTCCAGCCTGGCACACGTCAGCCTGGTGTGGTCCAGCCTGGCGCACGTCAGCCTGGCGTAGGTCAGCCTCGTGTGGTCCAACCTAGAGCAGGTCAGCCTGCTTTGGTCCAGCCTGGTGCACGTCAGCCTGGTGTAGTCCAGCCTGGAGCAGGTCGGCCTGCTTTGGTCCAGCCTGGAGCAGGTCAACCTGGTGTGGTCCAGCCTAGTGCACGTCAGCCTGGTGTGGTCCAGCCTGGCGTAGGTCAGCATAGTGTGGTCCAGCCTGGAGCAGGTCAGCCTGGTGTGGTCCAGCCTGCAGCAGGTCAGCCTGGTGTGGTCCAGCCTGTTGTAGATCAGAGTGCTTATCCACCTGGTTGGGCACAACCTGGTACATATCTACCTGGTTTGGTCCAACCTGGTGCAGATCAGCCTGGCTTGGCCCAACATGGAACAGATCAGCCTGGTTTGATGCAACCTCATGCATATCTACCTAGTTTGGCACAACCTAGCACAGATCAGCCTGGTTTGGTGCAACCTGGAATGGATCAGCCTGGTCTAGTCCAACCTGGGGTAGGTCAGCCTGGTTTGGCGCAGCCTGGTTTGGCGCAGCCTGGAATGGATCAGCATGGTCTAGTCCAACCTGGGGTAGGTCGGCCTGGTTTGGTACAGCCTGGAATGGATCAGCGTGGTCTGGCCCAACCTGGGGTAGCTCGGCCTGGTTTGGTGCAGCCTGGAATGGATCAGCGTGGTCTGGTCCAACCTGGGGTAGCTCGGCCTGGTTTGGTGCAGCCTGGAATGGATCAGCGTGGTCTGGTCCAACCTGGGGTAGGTCAGCCTGGTTTGGTGCAGCCTGGAATGGATCAGCGTGGTCTGGTCCAACCTGGGGTAGGTTGGCCTGGTTTGGTGCAGCCTGGAATGGATCAGCAGGGTATGGTCCAACCTGGGGTAGGTCAGCCTGGTTTAGTGCAGCCTGGAATGTATCAGCGTGGTCTGGTCCAACCTGGAATGGATCAGTGGGGTTTGGTCCAACCTGGAATGGATCAGCATGGTTTGGTGCAGCCTGAGAAAGGTCAGCCTGATTTGCTGCAACCTGGTGCAGGTCAGCATGGTTTGGTCCAAACTGGAATGGAGCAGCGTGGCTTGGTACAACCAGGTGCAGGTCAGCCTGGTTCAGTGCAGCCTGGCACAGATCAGGGTGGTTTGGTCCAACCAGCTACAGATCAGCCTGGTTTGGTCCAACCGGGCTCAGGTCAGCCTGGTTTGGCGCAGCCTGGCGCAGGTCAGGCTGGTTTGGCGCAGCCTGGGGCAGGTCAGCCTGGTTTGGCGCAGCCTGGCGCAGGTCAGCCTGGTTTGGCGCAGCCTGGCGCAGGTCAGGCTGGTTTGGCGCAGCCTGGGGCAGGTCAGCCTGGTTTGGCGCAGCCTGGCGCAGGTCAGCCTGGTTTGGCGCAGCCTGGGGCAGGCCAGCCTGGTTTGGCGCAGCCTGGCGCAGGCCAGCCTGGTTTGGCGCAGCCTGGGGCAGGTCAGCCTGGTTTGGCGCAGCCTGGGGCAGGCCAGCCTGGTTTGGCGCAGCCTGGGGCAGGCCAGCCTGGTTTGGCGCAGCCTGGCGCAGGCCAGGCTGGTTTGGCGCAGCCTGGGGCAGGTCAGCCTGGTTTGGCGCAGCCTGGCGCAGGTCAGGCTGGTTTGGCGCAGCCTGGCGCAGGTCAGCCTGGTTTGGCGCAGCCTGGCTCAGGTCAGCCTGGTTTGGCGCAGCCTGGCGCAGGTCAGCCTGGTTTGGCGCAGCCTGGCGCAGGTCAGCCTGGTTTGGCCCAGCCTGGCGCAGGTCAGGCTGGTTTGGCGCAGCCTGGCGCAGGTCAGCCTGGTTTGGTCCAACCTAGTGCACGTCACCTTGGTTTTGTGCAACCTGGAGTGGATCAGCGTGGTTTGGTACAGCCTGGCACAGATCCACGTGGCTTTTTAAAGCCTAGCATATATACGCCTGGCTTGGTTTCACCTGATATATATCCACCTGGTCCAGTACAGCCTGGTGCATATCTGCCTGGTTTGGTACAGCCTGGTGCCTATCCACGTGGTTTGGTCCCATCTGGTGTCTATCCTCATGGTTTGGTTCAGCCTGGTGCCTATCCTCATAGTTTGGTCCAGGCTGGTGCATATCCACATGGTTTTGTGCAGCCTGGATTAGATCAGCGTGGTTTGAGGCAACCTGGTACAGATCAACAAGGCTTGATACCACTAGGCACAGAGCTTCGTCGCTTTCCAACATTCCGTGCAGATTCTCGAAATTTTATATCACCACGCCCATATCAGCATAGTGTGGTACCTCCTGGCAGAACTCAACATGGCCAAGTGTCACCACTACCAGCCAATCAAGATTTGGCATTGCCAGGTATAGACCAAGAGGGTTTGGTACCACCAGAAACTTACCAGCATGGTGTAATGCATCCTGGCACAGACCAGCCTAGCCCAGCACCATTAAGCACAGGTGTGAGATCTGCACGCCTGGATCAACAGCATTTGGTATCTCCTGGCCCAGATCAACGTGACCATGCCTACTCCACCCCAGTCTCCCAGGGTGTAGATCGTTATGTCCAGGTAGATGCGGATCCAAATCAAACATATGCTTCAAACCAACTGGGAGTTTCTACCCAGACGACCCCTACCCAAGATGCCACCTTTTTCAGGAGGGAAACCTCCCTTAACTATCTCGACCAAGTCTCATCAGAAAAGATTGACGTCCAGAGTGAGAGACGTGAGTCACTGGATAAACTGGCTCCCAGCTTCCCTATGGCAGTGGAAACATTTCGTCTGATGGGGGAGCTCATCGGCCTCTATGTAGAGCTAAAGGAGAACATGAAGGATCTGGATGAGCAGGAAGCTGGCCAAACTGACTTGGAAAAGATCCAGTACCTGCTCGCCCTGATGGGTGGGTGCTGCTTGCGCAGAGGAGAGGCCACTATCTTCGTTCTAAGTTGATTTCATCCTTTTCTCCGCCTGGCCTCAACTCCTGGCAGCTGGGCCTCTTCCTGAGTCCCTGAAAATAGCTTGTCCATTCTTAGGCATTCTGGGTCCTCCCGTCCCCTTCAGGGTCCGAAGGATACAATTAAATCCAGAGGAGCGAAGGAGCCTCAGGAGAGGAATGGGGCAGGTTCTTCTGCCTTTGTCAGACTCTCTGGATGCCTCAGGAAAAATGCTGGGGCAGGGAAAACAACAGAGTTGGCCAGTGGGCGGGAGAAAGAATGTTGAAGAATTAAACTTAACCTTTGCCCATTCACAACTCTAGGCCCAGAGAACAAGAGCGAGTTTAGATTTAGGGAGAAATTGTGGGTCAGTGGTCCCAAAGCCGTGTGGGATATTAAACATGAGGTGGCTTTTTCATGGGCTAAGGACATTCATCTCTCCCTTCTTCCCGTCCCCTCTGCCCCAGTCACCAGGAAAAGCGGGATTAGTGCTGTGTCCTCTTGCTCCCTGGGGCGGCTTCACTGGGGGCTGGAAATGGGGATTGGGAGCCCACGGGGAATCTAACCCTTCTGACTGGAAGGCCTCCATTTTCCATAGTCAAAAAGACCATACCCCCTGACCTGCAGGAGCAGCTGAAGACTTTGAAGACCTTGACCAAAGAAATTCGGCAGGAAAAAGCAAAGGTGAGGAAGAGACCCGCCTCCTTGCCTTGGAGAGCCAGCCCTCCTTCAGTTGTGTTGTCATGTTCCACAGTCCTTTCACTTACATTCTTCTCTCACTGGATCTTTTCAATCTTGTCAGACAGAAAATGTACTTCAGGTATCATGGTGTTCAATTCTTGGGTCTAAAACCCAACTCTGAAAGCTGTTAAGATTCAGCTGGGCCAATAAGGAGGCCTTTGCTCCTTTATGGCCTGTAGCTGTTTCCAGTAAAACCCACTGTCCCTGGGACAGCCTTGGACTCAAGTCTGTGGGACTGTCTGGGGCCAGTGGTCATGGCAAGAGGCTACTGGGTCTTCATCGTTCTCTTCCTGCCGTCTGTCTATACCATGGGAGGGATGGATGTCAGGGAGGGATCTTGTTTTTGGTCAGAGGGTTGGATTAGGATTCTGGAATAGGGGAGGGCCTTGCTCAGGCTGCAGAGGCATGTTCGGAAAACAGACAACTCAAGCGTGCCTCACCCCCTCTTCCATTGGGTTTGTAGCTGGACAAGATGCAAAAGGTCGTGGAGGGCGATGCGGAGCAAGAAATAGGAAAGGACATGAAAACTGGCCAGCTGACCATGCAGCTGGGCATCCTCAGGTAAAATGCCCTTGCCACGTGGAGCTTGTGTCCTGGCGTCGCTTATTCTCAGTCGAGAAGGTGATGGCAGCTTTGGTTCACTTGTGCTCTGAACTGACCACTGTCTTTCACCTGGATCATGCCTGCTGTTCAGGTTGCCCAAATCTAGTTCAAGTTGCTGGTAGAAGTTTCCCAGGTTCTTAAAACAGCTCAGTGCCAGGGCTTGGAAGAGCCAAAAAAAAAAAAAAAAAGTTTCTTAGACTCTGTCCCCAGCTGGAGGCTGGAGGAGAGCGCTTGCTAGAGCCCCTCAGAGGTCACTTTGCAGTGTTAGCTCTCACCTGCTAGAAGCCTCCCAGGCCAGGATGCTGGACACCCACCTCCGGGACAGGCCAGGCCTTCGACTCTCTAGACAGCCTGCTGGAGGCGGGAGAAAGAGCCTGGTCTGCATCCTCCTCATCCCTCATGGCTGGGGTTCAACGCTGGTGGGCCCCGGCCCCTGGGCCGGCGGTGGGGCCAGGCCATCTCTTGTGCACGCAGAGTCACCGTGGCTGACATCGAGAAGGAGCTGGCTGAGCTGAGGGAGAGCCAAGAGCAGGGCAAGGTCAGCATGGAAAATTCAGTCTCCGAAGCGTCCCTTTACCTGCAGAATCAGGTGAGGATTCCACGCTCGTCAGCCGCAGGGACCAGAGCCCTTCTCAGAGTCGGCTGTTGACAGTGAGGGCCGCCGTGCCCTCCGGCCACCCCTCTGTGTGTGTGGGGGAGGGGGTGACTTATCGAGGGTTCAGCCCCTTCTGATCCAAAACCAGCTCTGAGGCTGCAGGTACACGGTCAGGTGTGTCCCCTCTAGCAGGGAAGGGCACCCCTTTCAGGCCAGCCTAGCAGCCTTGAAATCTTTTTCTCTATCTTTTTTAATTATATAATTCACATATCATGAAACTCCTCCTTTTAAAGAGAACTAGGTAGTTCTTAGTACATTTACACAGTTGTGCAGCCACGACCATGATCTAATTCCAAAACATTTCATCACCCTGAAAAGGAAGCCTGTACCTATTAGCAGTCACTCCCCATCCCTCCAACCCACTAGCCTCTGGCAGCGGCCAATCTACCTTCTGTCTCTCAGGATTCACCTAATCTGGACATTTCACGTATGTGGAATCATACAACACGTGGCCTTTCGTATCTGGCTTCTTTCACTTTAGCACAATGTTTTCAAGGTTCATCCATATTTTAGCATGCACTTCATTCCTTGTTATGGCTGAATGATGTTCCATTTTGTGGCTAGACAACAGTTTATTTATCCATTCATTGGTTGAAGGACATTCGGGTTGTCTCTATCTTTTGTATAATATGAATAATGCTGTTATGCACATTCATGTACTGGTTTTCGTGTAGACATATGTTTCCATTTCTCTTGGTTATATGCCTCTGAGTGAATTGCTGGGTCACATGGTAACTCTGTTTAACCATTTGAGGGTCTGCCAAACTGTTTTCCAAGTGGCTGCACCCTTTACGTCCCCACTGGTAATGTACAAGGGTTTCGATTTCTCCACATCCTTACCAACACTTATTTTCCTTTTTTGTTTTTTAATTATAGCCGTCCTAATGGGTGTGAAGTGGCATCTCATTACAGTTTTGGTTTGCATTCCCTAATGACTAATGATGTTGAACGTTTTATCATGTGATTATTGGCCATTTGTATATCTTTGGAATTTGATGTCTATTCAAATCCTTTGTCCACTTTAAAATTGGGTTATTTGTCTTTTTATTGTTGAGTTGTAAGAGTTCCTTAATATTCTGCATACTAGACGGTTAGCTGATATATGATTTGCAAATATTTTCTCCCATTCTGCGGGTTGTCTTTCCACTCCCTTGTGAGTAGAAGTGCCCGCCTTTAAATCTTAAGTAATGCTTTCCTTGGTCACCCCAGAATGTTTTCAGTAAGGAGTGTCTGGACCAGGAGTGGCCCTCTGAGTGCTCGTAGAAGAAACAGATAGGAAAAGCCACTGAGTGCAGGGGGCTCATGTCAACAGCCCTTTTGTGCTAGAGGCCCCATTCTGGGCTGGCTCCCAAGTTTGCCAGAATAGTGGTGTGTACCATTTCATGACCCCAGATCTGACTGTCCCGTGTGGGGCTTGAGGAGCAGCAGAGTGCGTGAGAGTCACCTGTCATTCCAAAGCTCAGGTCTGACCTTAGCAACCGCCAGGGCTTCCCCAGGGCCACACTTCAGAGAGGAGCAGCTCCCTGCTGGGCACACCCGGCCTCCTGTCGCAGCCTCTTCGGGGCACCGCCTTCCACACTCCCCTCCCACCACCGCGGCCTCCTGCCTTTCTCTTCACACACCGCTGCTTTCTCCTGCTGCTTCTCTTCCTGGAATGTCCTTCTCAACCTTGTCTACCCGGAGGGCTGCCACTTATTCGTGACTCCACTGAGATGCCCATATTTGGGGAGGTGACTTCCTCTCTTCTAGAGAGAACTCACCTGCCCTCTTTATCCCGGGGGCCCTTGGACATGCTCTCTCGGCCTCTTCAGAAGCGTGTCAGCTCTCCTGGTTACAAGCAGCACAGTCTCGTGAGAGCAGGCAGAAGGGAGCTGGGTTGAGAGTACATACATGTACAGGGGCCTGGAAAAAGCCAGGCCGAGGAGGCAGTCTGGTTCGGGCCACTCCCTGTCTGTCTTTTTGTGTCTGTTTTTGTGTGTATCTGTGCCTCTGTGTCCATTTCTTTATCTGTCTCTCTGAAATACCCCCCACATCTCTCTTCCAGTCTACTCTCAAACAGCTGTCTTGCCTCTCACACATGGTCCAAATGGCTGCCCCAGGCCCTGCAGAGTCACACACTTCTAAGAGAGGGGGTTAGGTTGGCCAAGCCCCTTTCTGAGCCAGGCGACACGTCACAGGGCTTTGGCCAGTCTAGGGACTGTTGCCCTTGAACCAGGTGCCTACCCAGGACCAATCATTTTGGTGACAAACTGGGACCATGGGGTACAGAAAAGAGCAGGAGAGCCATTGGGAGGAGCTGGTCTGGCCCAGACCACGAGAGGCCTCATAGTGGCAGCAGCTCCTGTTACATTCTTTTATTGTTGCTTACGTGCTGCATGGGGACAGAGCGTGCGTGAGTGTGCACGAGTCACATCCCCAGGCCCTGGAGCAGTGTCTGCAGACTGACTAACGGACATCACCACTCGAGGACTGACTGGAGGGGATATGTTCTCGCAGTGCGCCATTGGGCGGGCTGCAGAAAGGTCCAGAAGGCTCCCTCCTGCAAGGGCTTCATTCAGCATTAGTGCTACACTCCCTGAGAACTCTGTTTGCTATTTAACAGGTGGATGAGCGCCTCCCACGTGCCGCACATTCTGCGGGGCACGGAGGGTGCGGCGACTGCTCAGGTCGTGGCAGGCGAGGGGCAGGAAGCAGCTGCTAGCAGTGACAGCGTGGGTGGAACATGGCCGTGCCTCGCTCACTGCTCTGCGCCTGCCTTCTCTCCTGCACCCAGTTAGACAAGCTCAGGACAATCATCGAGAGCATGCTGACCTCGTCTTCCACGCTGCTGTCCATGAGCATGGCGCCTCACAAGACCCTGACAACCTTGGCACCGGGCCAGATTGACCCTGAGGCCACCTGCCCAGCCTGCAGCCTGGACCTGAGCCATCAGGTCAGCACGCTGGTGCGGCGCTACGAGCAGCTCCAGGACATGGTCAACAATCTGACTACCACCCGGCCGTCCAAGAAAACCAAGCTCCAGAGCCAGGTGATTCCGCTGGCTTCCCCCCGGTGCAGCTGCCTGTGCCCCACAGGGGGAGCCACAGCCCGGAGGCCCACGGAGCGGCGAGGGGCTGAGAGAGCTCCCCACCGAAAGAGTGCTTGGACCTAAGGGCCAGTTTTCCGTGGTGGAGCCCTTTAGTGGTCCCACAAAAGTCCCTGGTCCTTGCATAGGGTCACAGCAAAGGCAGCAGCAGAGCTAACTTTGGGCACAAGGGACCATGGGGAAGAGCTGGCTCCATGGAGTGGGACTGCACAGCTGGCTGAAGGGTGGAGCAGTGCCATTCACGTGCCTCAAGGACACTGGTGTAGCTTTAGGGTTCACTGACCCCCCTACACCAGTCTTCCGGATGCCCCTTCCCGATTCCCCTCCAAAGAGCAGGCTTGCTGGTGGGGGCAGGGAGAGCCACAAGTCCCCGAGTCCTGCCTCTTGGACTCTGGAATTCAGATTCAGTCAAAGGCAGGTGAGGAGATTGTAGGCCACACCCCATCTCTCAGGGGCCACAGGGCAGCTCGCCACTCCAGAGCCTGATGACCTCTACTGATCACCCCCACCGGCCAACCATGGTCCCTCAAGGCTAGCCCCTGGGGAGGTGGGGGACTGAAGCTTGTGTCCCTCGAGTGGACACGTGGAAAGGGTAGTGAGTCTCCCCACTGTTGGCGGGAAGTTGTGGAGCCAACTGAGGAGAGCCAGAATGGGGTCTGAGGTTGGCCTATCTGCGGGGTGATATTTGAAGGGCCAACTTCTCAGAGGCAGCAGTCCCGCTGGGGGGTGCCCCAGCAGCCTCAGGAGCCTGCCTTTGTCCCTCCTGCCGCAGGATGAAGAGCTGCTGGGCCATGTCCAGCGTGCCATCCTGCAGGTGCAGGGCGACTGCGAGAAGCTCAACATCACCACCAGCAACCTCATCGAGGACCATCGGCAGAAGCAGAAGGACATCGATGTGAGCAGCCCGCAGGGTGGTGGGGGAGAAGGCGAGGCTGCCCCCCACCCCCGCCGCCCACCCCAGCCCTTCAGTTCCTTGCTCCTTATTCTCTGCTCCCCCGGCTCCCAGGTGTTGTACCAGGGTCTAGAGAAACTCGAGAAGGAAAAGGCTAACAGGGAAAACCTGGAGATGGAGATTGGCACAGTAAGGGCCGGGCCCAGAGGAACCACCTGTGTCCCAGGAGGTCTCACTGGGCATTCTTCAAAAGGCCAGGAGTGGAGGGGAGCCCATGGGGGGAATATGGGCTCAGTGACAGGGGTTCACACCTCAGGGGAGTGGGGCCCCTCTCTGTCCCTCTCCCATCTGGAAGGCCCCCTCCTCTCTCTCCGGGCAGAAAGCCGACAAGAGTGCCCTGGCAGCCAAAGTGAGCCGTGTCCAGTTTGACGCCACCACAGAGCAGCTGAACCACATGATGCAGGAGCTGGTGGCTAAGATGAGTGGGCAGGAGCAGGACTGGCAGAAGATGCTGGACAAGCTCCTGCTAGAGATGGACACCAAGGTGGGGGCAGAAGGAGCTCCAAGGCCCCCTGGATTGGGACAATGCCACCTTCCCTGGGTGCTGCAGGGACCCTCACCTGCTTAGTCAGAGCTCAGCTGACTTCCGCCACCCTCACCCACAGCTGGACCGCCTGGAGCTGGATCCAGTGAAGCAGTTGCTGGAGGATCGGTGGAAATCCTTGCGACAGCAGCTCAAAGAGCGCTCCCCACTCTACCAGGCAGATGAGGCAGCCGCCATGCGGAGGTGGGGCCCAAAAGACAGCGGGGGAGGTTGGCATGCTCTGCAGGGGGAGGGCAGGTCGGGGACTTGGGGCTCCCCAGATGAACAGCTCCTGCCAGCACACAGCGTGCTCCCGGGGAACGGCTGATCCTGCCCAGGCCTGTCCCACAGTTGGAGTGACAGAATTTTAGAGCTTGAAAAGCTCTTCTAGCTCAGGCCAGTTCATATCACAGCGGAGAAAGGGAGGGGAGGGAGTGTAAGGCTCTCCAGGCATGGGTGTGCTACGTGCTCAGCCATTGGGACAGGGAGAGGGGCTACGTGGGGACCTGGCCTGCGGCAGGGCAGAATCCTGGGATTTCCATTATTGGCCACCAGAGGGCCCCCGAGCTTTACACAGGGCACCCCTCAGGGGCCCTTTGGAACCCTGCTGGCTTTGGGTTAGGATAGGTGGGTGCTGGATGAGTGCAGGAACGGGCATGTCTAGAAGCTGGTGTGCTCCTGGGGAGCAGGGCCGGTTCTGCCTCCGGAGGTCTGGGGCCTGCCACCCTAGTGAGCTGAGCTTGGAGCCTGCCTGGCCTGCAGCGGGCCAAGACCTCCTGAGTTCTCCACCTCTCCCATCCTGGGCCCAGTGGGCAGGGCACTTACCCTCCGTGTGTATCCCATTCCTCACAGGCAGCTCTTGGCACATTTCCACTGCCTCTCATGTGACCGTCCCTTGGAGACACCTGTGACTGGGCAGTGAGTACCCACACCAGGCCGACCCCAGCTGGTGGCCGTAGTGGGGGTGGGCACGGCAGGGCTGTGTCTCTTCCATTCCCTACCTGCCTCCAACTCTCGTCCTTTCCTTCTCGCCCATCTATGGGTCCATTCCTGTACACCTGGACTGCTTCCTACCCTTGGGCTCTCCCTGCAGCCCTGGGTGGGAAGTCTCCTCAGGCAGGTGGAATGTGGGGAGTGGGCGGTGGATCTGCATGGCGGGATTCCTCACACTCTGACCCTCCCCTTCCCTCTGCCCAGAATCATCCCTGTGACTCCTGTGTGCCCAGGCCTGCCCGGGCACCGTTCCATCCGCCCCTACACTGTCTTTGAACTGGAGCAGGTCCGGCAGCAGAGCCGCAAGTACGGACAGCGGAGTCCCGCACGGCTTTGCAGGGGAGGCAGCGGCAGACTGGAGGGCGTGGGGAGGGCTCCTCCTCCCGGTGGGACAGGCAGGGCACTAGAGCGATTTCTGAGTAGCCCCAGCCCTTCCCAGGGCATGAGCGTCGGAGCAGGAAGAGTGAAGCCCTAGGAATCACCTGCCTCTGGGTCCCTGTTGGGAGCGGGGTGGGACGTTGCCAAGGGTGCCGGTTCCCTCTGAGGGTCCCTCTTCACCACCTCACACCCCCCAGATGCTTCCGCGCTCTCAGGAACCCCGGCTGGGAGGAAGGGAGGGGTCTGACATCACTCAGCGAGAGGCTTGGCTCAGTGAATGTGGGGGGATAAAGGCGGTGGGGGGGGGGGGGGGCATGTTTCACACTCCCTCGGCTCCTGCCCTCCTCCCTGCAGCCTTTCCACCTCCTAAGGATGGGGCTTCAGCGGAAAGGATGGTTTTCAAAGTGCTCTCTGGAGGCCTAGTGGTTCCAGGTGTGCGGGGCTAGGTGTGCGGGGCCAGGGAGAGGCCAGGCCGACTTCAGCCCTGGCGCCCCCAGCGGTAGCTAGAGGCGCTCGGCTTCTCTCCATCTGGCTCTCCCGCGCTTCTTTCCCGTCTCAGGAAACCTTCCCCGGCGAGTCTGGCCATGGGCCCTGGGGTACTGTGGAAAGGGCTCCTGCCCACACAGGGTCCTGCTTAAAAGGGGGTAGATAAAGGGGTGGAGTGGGCCGGGGTTTCGTCTGAGCTAGGGCTCGGGCGGGCGGTGCGGCTGCCTCACCCCTCACCCCGCCTCTGCCCGCGCCCGCAGCCTGAAGCTGGGCAGCGCTCCCTTCCCTCGGAGCGACCTGGCGCAGATGGAGCGGAGTGTGGGGCGCCTGCGCACCATGCACTCCAAGATGCTGATGGACATCGAGAAGGTGCAGATCCACTTTGGAGGCTCGGTCAAGGCCAGCAGCCAGATGATCCGCGAGCTGCTGCAGGCCCAGTGCCTCAGGTCCCCCTGCTACAAACGGTAGGACGGCACAGACCGGGCCCTGGCCATGGGGCTCGGCTCTGCCCCCCACGGCCCTGCGAAGGCCTCACCGCATGCTGGGGAAAGCCCTGACAGGGGGAGTGCGTGTGTCAATGTGAACGTATATACGTGAGTGAGTGTGAGAGAGAGTGGTCTCAGGATGCCCCGCGCAAGGTTGCTCCGCCTACTCACCTGCCCGTCCCTCGGCCTCCCTTGCTCCTGGCTCACAGCGACCCCTGAAAAGAGCTGCCTCTGGCCGGCCCCCACCACAGGTGGGTCCCAGGTCACTGCTCCCAGTAACTCCGCTGTCTTCATCACAGGGTACACGATCCGGCCGATTACACCTACTCAACGGTGCCTCGGCGCTGCGGGGGCAGCCACACCCGCACCTACCCCTACCGCCGAAACCGCCTGCAGCACCTGGCCCAGGGCCTGTACCCCACCGACGAGATCCAGATTGCCATGAAGGTTGGGGGCGCTGCCTGGGGGGACAGGGGAGAGGGCCCTGAGATGACCCCAGAGTCTCAAGTCATTCTGGAAAAAACACCAGAAGCCACCTCATCTGGCCCTCTGCCTTGAGGTGGTTTCTTAGACCTAGTTAAAGCCTCAGGTTCTTATCCTTTGCCCAGAGGAAGAATGCTATCCTGGCCACCCACCCTCCTGGCCCTCCCACCTCCAGCCCTCCCTTCACCCCGCTGCTCCTGGGAGGGTTCTGAGCATCATTTGGTATTGGGAGTCAGGAGAGGATGGCACTCTGTGCCCCGGGCCCTCATGGAGGCAGGAGTGGAGGGCAAGCTCTGAGTGCCACATGGTGATGGATACTGGCCCACCTCCACAGCATAAAGAGGTGGATATCTTGGGCCTGGATGGACATATTTACAAGGGACGGATGGATACCAGGCTACCGAGCATCCTGAGCAAAGACAGTGAGTGTCCAAGCACCCTAGAGGCTCCTCAGGCTCCTTGCTTGGGTCCCACAGGCTCCATCCAGCTCCCAGAAAGTTAGGCACTTCTTGGGACCATCAGCCCCTGGCTGCCTTCCCCTTCTCCCCTCCCTGACTCCACACATTCAGGTCTCCAAAAGCCCCAGGTCAATGTTTGCAGGCAGGACAGCCGTCCAGTCTCAGCCGATTAGCCAGGATGTCCTGGCCGCGTCTCTTGCCAACCTTCCCCCGCATGCGGCTTCTGCTGGCTTTCCTGCCTCAGCCTCTGTTCCTAGCATCACCACAGCCAACTCCTACACTTTCAAAACTCAGAATGCCCTCTCCTGAGCCCCCACCGCTCAGTGAATCCCTCATTCCCTGGAAGGCCCACTGTCAGTTAGCCATTCCTGCAGTGTGCTGCCTGTCACTTCCCACCGCGTCACCGCCCTGTACGCACCTCTCCAGCTGCCTTCCCCCCCAAAGTGTAAACCTGGGTCAGAACTCAGCCAGCACGTGGCACAGGGCCGATGTGTGTAGGTCGTCAGAGGAATCTGAGTGGGTGGGTGGGCTGTCGGACAGACATGAATGAATGAAGTCTAAGGGGCACATCCACGAATTCAGCCTGAGAAGGACCCCAGCTGGCTGTGGCCAGCAGCCCTGCGGCCTTCTCCCCATCCCCATGTGTCCCCATGGAGCTCTCGCTCAGTGTCTCAGAACTGAGCCCTCCCTCACTGTGCCCTGTCAGCCTCAGGGGTCACAAAGCAGAAGGCCAAGCAGCCCCGGCCCCACGTGCACCGGCAGCAGTCCCTTGGTGACAATGGCCAGCTGCCCTCGCGGCCTCAGAGCGCTCAGATGCTGGCGGGCAACAACTCAGGTAGCGTCCCTCTGGTTGGAGCATCCCTCTGGGCGGCCTGGGCACTGCCCCAGCCCCTTCCCAACCACAGCTGGTACACGCCTTTATTTCCCTGGAGAGAGGAAAGGGCCTGGGGGCCGAGGGAAGGGAGGGGGAAGAGAGAAAATCCGCCCTTCATGAGTCCTTGCTGTGCCGGGTCTGTGGGGTAGGCACTACTGTCCCCATCTCTCCGAAGAGGAAATGGGGGCAGGGTGGCAGCCCAAGCTCTGGCTCCAGCCCCAGTCCTTCGCCAGATCCGGGCCTGACTCTCCCGGAGTCAGTACGCACGGGCTCTCATGGCAGCTGCTGGGCACAGGGCCGGACACGACCTCTAGAGCCCCTCAGCCTAACCCTGCATCCTCACCTCCAGGCCTGGAGGGTCCCTAGAGTCTCTGCTCTCCTCTGAGGGCTTAAATCCTGCCTGAAAAGTCAAGGGGCTAAGGGCCCGTTAGAGTTTGGCCACACGTGGGGGCCAGAGAGGGACTCTGGTCTGGAGCCAGGAGGCCAGATCACTTTCAAGTGACTCCGAGCAAGTCTGCCTGCTCTGCAGACCTGTTTCCTCTTCTGTCAGAATAGGGGAGCAGGGTTAGTGCCGCCAGAGTCAGGGCCCCCCAGGAGGATCAAATGAAAGGTGCTTCCTATAAAAAGTTCTGTACCCACAACACTTTGCAGACACTTGCAGGAGGTCCGAGGACCCCACGCCCCCCGGTTAAGAGCCCAAGCCCTACTAGATGCCCTTTACTATCCCTTCCAGTTCCACGTTCAGTGAGTGCCTGGAGGAAATAGAAACAGAGTGAGTGATAGTGGCCATCATGGCACCTCGCCTTTATTGAGGGCTCCTCACTGGCTAGACCCTGTTGAGAAGCTTTACACATATGAACCAATTTTAATCCTCACACCAACATTAAGAGGTAGGGACCATTGTTAGCCTCACTTACAGCTGAGAAAACTGAGGCACAGAGAGGTTAAGGTACTTGCCCAAGGTCACACAGCTAGGAAGCAGCAAAGCTGGAATTCAAACGCAAGTTGTCTGGCCCCAGAGCCAATCTGTGACCCTGGCTCCCAGAATTATTTTCTTGGGGGTACTTAGCTTCCTTCTCCTTGGCACATCACTGTCTACTCCAAGGGCACTTAAAATGTTATGAGAGCGGGAGAGAGAGGGAGAGTAGTCTTAGGAAAAATTCCCGCACCTATTTGTGTGAATATTGCCTAAATAGTCCCTGTATTAACAGAGGGAACATTACCAAAGAGGCAGGCTCTTGGCCCTGACAGAGGGCTTGTTTATTTTTAACTCAAAGGAGCTTTGCTTAGGAGCGTGTGTGAGGGCTTGCCCTGCACACCCCAGCCTTGGAGCCGGCCCCTCTCTGGCATCTGGCTGCGGCTCAGCCTGGCTAGTGGAGCTGCCCCCACTTCCCTGGGCTTTGGGCAAGCTGGGGGAGCTGCTAGTGGGCGTGGGGAGGGAGACAGAGTGATCCCGGTCCCTGCTGCCCCACAGCTCCTTCTCGTCAATGGAAAGACAGACCCGTCTCCTCCGAGGGACGCCTCTCCCAGCCGAATATGGCCCACCCACCCAGCCCCAGCGAGATGGCAAACGTACCGGCAGGGATGGAGATACCCATGGATGTGCCTCCTGGGGAGGGGCTCGAGGAGCCCACCCGGGGGCCACGGTCCACCTCTGCTCACAGAGCAGAGCAATAAATAAATATTTAGGAAGAAGCTTGGGCAGCGAGGCTCTCTGGTCCTGACTGGGGAAGATGGAGTGAGAGGGAGGGGCCTGCTGCAGGCCGGTCTCCTCCAGACGTCCCCAGGGCCGGGTGGCAGACCTCTAGGAGAGCGGGTCTGGCTTGTAGCCTGAGAATTAGACCACAGCCCCCCAAACGGATTAAGCTGGTAAGAGTGCTGGGGCTTCAGGAGAGCTGAGCATCTCACCCAGAGTGGGGTGGGGGCGGCACAGGTCAGACCCAGGCTCCAGGCACTGTTGGGCCTGTGCTTACACCTACCAGCTCTCCCCTGACCTCAGCTAGACCCGGGTGCTGCTGCCTTCCTTGGCGCCAGCCTGCCTTCTCGCCTGGGGAGGCCAGCCTAGAGGGTGGCCTCACCGACTGGGGCACTCTGGAGAGGTTTGGGACACGTGGTATCGGTGCGTGAGCTGTACCTTGGAGCAAAGAGGAGCGTGGCAGCTGCCAGCTGCTTTCCCACTGCTGGCTCGGGCAGTGCCTGGATCCTGGCATGGCGTCCCGGGGGAGCAGTGCCACCAGCCTCCTGGGAAGGTCCTGTTTCCTGTCTTCTGTGGCTTACCCTTGAATGGCTGCTGCAGAGGCAGGAGGGGCTCAGACCTCGGGGCTACCAGTTTCTCCGTTTCTCCCCGCTCCCCAAGAGAAGAGAGCAGAGGGTGTCATGTGTGGAAGAGGCTTTGCCCAGCAGCCTGCGGCCTGGCTCAGCCCACTCAGCACCACTGGCTTAGCTTTGCTCACCCCAAACGGGCAAGAGGGCTCCCTGCTGTCCCCCAAGCCTTTGTGCTCAAGGTCTTGGCAGGCTGGGGGGGACAGAGGAGCATGGGTGGGCTGAGCTCAGTGGGGCACCGCAACTGTAAGGGACGAGTCCCCATCCCCAATTGAAGCCTTGGGGACAAGAGAGAGCTGCCCCCAACCCTGAGCCCTCTAGTCATCAAAGCAGTTCTCTGCCTTCAGGTCTGTTCTCATTAGTCCCTCCTCAAAGGTGGGGCTCCCCCCACCTCCAGGCCCCATCTCCCCCTCTGACTTGGGAAAGGGATGTCTGGGGCAAGAGGTTCACTTCAGGGTGTGAGGTGAGGGGGTGACAGAGTCACACAGGAAGGGAAAGTGTGGCAGGAAACAGTCCAGAAAGGGTTTCTCCCATCCCACCTCGTGTGGGCAAAGAGGGCAGGGTTGGCTGGGGGTGTCATGGGGGTGGGGCAGGTGCTCCCTACGGGAGGGGGCTTCCCCCTTCTTTCCCCATCTGCTGAGATCCCATTCATCTCTGTAACGACGTAATGCCCTGGCCAGAGGGAGGAGGGGAGCAGCCGGAACCCTGGGGTCCGGCGGGCACCCCTCACACCAGGTGCCCTTTTCTCTGCAAGCAGGAGGCAGAACCAGCCCCTCCTCCGCTCCTGCTCAGGCTTCTGTTTCTCTGGCCTTCTCGCTGAGAAATGTCAGAAGGTTGCTGGCTCAGTGTCCCTGGCCTAGAACCCAAACTCACCAGCTCGGCAGGGCGGGGTGGCAGTAGGAACAGAGCAGCCCTCCATACCCAGACCTCCCCACACCCACAGGACAGGGAGCAACATTTCCCAAGCAGCCAGGCCAACCCCATCCCCGCACCTGGGCCCGGCTGCCCACCCTCACCAGGCTGTGCCCAGCCCCAGCGTGGACCCCGCCCAAGTCCCAGCACTAAGCGCCCACGTGCCCGCAGGGGGCTTCCCCTTCCAGCCTGGGAAAGCACAGGTGGGCAGGGGAGGGGGTGAGGGTGGGAGGAGCCTCAGGGGTTTCCAACCAGGAAACAAAACTGAAAGGACAAACCCAGCCTCAAAGGACATGATCACATGTAGAGGGACTGAGGGCAGCTGTGTCCACCGTTCCACTCTACTCCCGCAGGGGCTGCCCCACAGGCAAGCTGGACAAGACATGTGCAGGCCCAGCAGGGTGGGCTGGCTCGTTAGGCAGGGCCCTTCTCAAGTGTCACTTCACTTCGGCCCTGAACCTCCAGACTCTCCAGCCAGATTGACAGCAGTGTCCACTGCAGTGCCCAGCTGCCAAGAGAGGACAGAGGGAGAGGGAGAGAAGCCCCCACACACATGTTGAAGGGGTACTGGGGGCCAGGGGCTCAAGGTGGCATCCTTCCCCCAAGCATGGGGCTCACGGAGGAGTCCCAGCCCTGGGCCAGCCACCCACTCCTATAGCTGGGCCCACAGCCTCCTCCTCGGCCACCTGCCCCCTGCACTGGAGAAGCTGAGCAAGGGCTGCTGGGCCAGGAATTGCCAACACTGCTTCTGTTTTAATGCCTGGAGGCTGTGGGGAAAGTGGGAAGGGAAAGCCAGCCAGTCCCTTTGGGGACCCACCCTGTCTCTGTGGCTCCGACAGCCTTGGTTGACCTTTAGGGCATGGCCACACAACATGCACACCGAAAGGAGGCCGAGGGCAGGGATGGAGATGGGCCCAGCTGGAAGAAGCCTGGGAGGCCGCCAGGCCAAAGGGTGGGGCTGCCATCAGGCCGCCAGGTGGAGGACAGCTCCCCTCACTGCAGACGAAGACCATGGCACCAGGGCCGCGCACCGAGGGATGGCTGGTGGTGGGCTACCCAGCGAGGGCCACGAAGGGGAGAGGAGTCAGGGCCAGTCCTCCCTGTCCCTATACCCAACTGGATCCAGCCTGTCCTACCAACCCTCTGGTCTGGACGCCCTTGTCAGAACATCCAGACCAGACTCGTGGCAATGGAGCCCGCCTCCCAACCGCAGCAGGCTGAGAGCCCCACCCCCTTCCCAAGGAGAGCGCTCTTCCCCCCCAAGGTAAATAAAGGCACTGCAAACCAGGGAAGTTAGAAAAGTCTCTTTTAAGTTTTTAAATTAAAAGTTCACCCTGGTGAGATGATTGATTCGGGAACTAAATCCAAAGGCAAGCTCCCCACTCTGTCGCCTGCTGGGGGCGGACACAGCAGGAGGCAGGGTGGCTGTAGAGAGTCAAGCCCCCGGCCAGCCAGAGCCTGGGCCTTTGACCCAAGCCAGCTCTTTAGCTCCACACAAGCCCTGCACGCTCAGCTGGAGACAGGGTGATACCAGGAGAGGCGACAAGAGCTGCAGAGCCACTGAGGAACCAGCCAGTAACTGGGGGTGGGGAGGCCCTCATGATAGCAAAGAGGCCCCCCACACCTTCAGCCGCCGGGCACCTCTGGGAGAGCCTCCTGCCGAGTGGATCGGTGGTGGTCTTCTCCAGAAGGTGTGACCTTTGAAAGGAGGCAGCTAGCAGACACCTGGTGACTGCAAGATCAGCCACCTGGCTTCCACGCACCTGCCCTGGGACTGGGCGGAGGAAGAGGTGCTGGCCCTTCCCCACAGACCCCAACACCCTGGGCAGCCAGCCCCATTCTCACATACATTAGTTATATTTATATATTCATATATATTATAGTTATATATTAAAAAGAGAAAACTTGCCTGAAGAGAAACTCCTGAAGGACCCAAGTGGCTCAGGAAGTTTACTGTCCCACCCCCCCGCAAAAATGCTTTTATAAAATCTTCCAGTGCGATGTTCAGGAAACCCCCACCCACCCCAGCTCCCCCCACCCCAGCCCTCCTGTGTCCCCACGACCCTGGACTGCCCCCAGCTCCAGCCCAGTGCCCGGCGGCATCCAGTCTCATCTCTGGCCATCCATTGCAGCCATGGCTTTCTGCTGGGTGCCCCCCTGCTGTGCTCCGGGGGGCCACGTGGGCTGTGGGTGGTGGAGGTGGTGGAAGCTGTGGGCCGTGGGGGAGGAGGGTGGGATCCAGGCGGCCTGGTGGCTGGGCGGGGATGAGGCCCAGAAGGGGCTGAAGTTTGCAGGGGGGGAGCAAGCCACGGCTGTCATGGGGCTGTTGCCGCTCTGCAGGCCCTCAGAGGCGCGAAGCTTGGAGAACATGGCCAGTGCATCGGGGAAGTTGGGCGGCGTGGCAGGTGTGTTGCTGGGAGTGCACATCTGCTGGGAGAGAACACAGGTGTCGGGAGCGTTGCCCACACGGGCCCCTGTTCTGAGCCTGGGTCCACGGCCCCTTGGAGCCTTCGGGGCTCACCCAAGCCGGCCCCTCCTTTACTCCCATTTTGTAGTCCACGAGCAGCATCAACAGGACAAAAGCACCCCTCCCCATCTCGCCCTGAGCCAACAGAAACAAAAAAAAGGACAAAACCCAACAATTTTATCAAAACCAAAGAGTGTTTCATGATGCTTGGGAATGACACCCTGAGGAGTGTCTGAAGTAAATGGTTAATTGTGACCAGAAGCTAGGGTGTCAGATTAAAGCAAGGAGAGGGAGCAGCCCAGGACACCACTGCTTAGCGCCTCACTCTGCAAAGAAACCAGCTGGCTCCCTCAGTGAGCCGCCCTCAGATGTTCTGAGGCTGCTGGTCAAGGGAAGGTGGCCAGAGCCAGGGTGTCCCTCCTACGTCAACCTTGGAAAAGCTACATTCTCTCGGTATTTGGGTGCATTCCACGGCAACAGGACCGGCCAGCAGGCCTTAGAGTCTTCACCTCCACGGTTTTACTTCTCACGATGATGCTAGGTCATTTCGATTATTTTCTATACGACAGATGAGGAAACTGAGGCCCAGAGCTCACACCCAGTCCAGGGTACAAGTGGAGACGTTAGAATTCCCAGGCTCCCAGGTCCAAAGGCCTAAGCTCTTAACCTCTACCCAGCCCCCATTCGTCTGCACTTAGAGTCAAGTGCAACTTCGGTTTCCTGTGTCCTTTGCATGTCCCCTCATGCTGTCCTTGGCCAGGGGCTGGCAGAATGTCCAGCCTCTCTCAGGCCTCTTCCTAGGGGCAGTTACAAACATCCCAACATCTGTTGTCTTCTGCCACTACCGGGGGAGGGGGGCTCCCAAACTCCTCTCTATCCCTGGCCCTTTCCGAGCAGGCACCCCGGCCAGGACGGAGAGAGTTGGTGGGGTGCTGGAAGCGGCCCTCTCCATGTGAGCACCAGAGCCTGCTGTCCCTCCCCACCCCTGCAGCATGGG